AAATTTGCTTGATAATTCAACTACGCTTGTTGGAGAACAATAAAAACACTACACTCAACAAGCCACCAATAAAACTCAACTGCCTAACCTATAAGCAAAGTCTCCTTTTAATTTGTTTTTAAAAAAAAGCGCTTGACAAACTTGCCCCGCATGCCGAAGTTGCCCCGGTCTCCCCTATAGATGTTAGTGTGTGTGGGGCGGCACGATTCTGTTCACCCACTTTGAAATTTAATAACTCATGTGCCTTTTGTCGAAAATATTTGAAATTTTGTAGGGAGATTTGTGTATTAAGTTAATACACAAATCTCCCTACAAATTTCAGATATTTTCGAAGTCGTTCGTCTCGTAACTAATAACATTTAATCCCCTGTATGTCTGATGTCGTTCGTCTCTTAGGGAGATTTGTGTTAATACACAAACCTCCCTAAAATTTTGTTAATTTGTGTTAATACACAAATCTCTCTAAGAGACAAACGACGCCAGACATACAGGGGATTAAATGTTATTGGTTAAAGATTGAAGGGTTCGTGTGTCATATTTTCAGTTGAGTCGGATTTAATGAAGAGTTTATTCGTTATTGCGCTGCAATTTGTAAAATTTGTAGATCTATAAATTCCCACTGTCGTCCGTTCGTCCGTCTGTCCGTTTGTCTTTCTTTAATCTCGAGAACGGGGTTAGATAGATGAAAGGCGAGTCTAGATATAAAAAGAATAGAAATGGAGACCCCGATTAACTACATCGAATTTCCGATGCAAACCAGTAGTCACCTTATTTCAATTCAAACTTTTCCCCTGAAAGGAGTCTCCAGAATAGAAGACCGGTACGACTCTATTGCTAACAGGAAAAGTATGATGTATAGGGCAAGACACTAATAATTTGAGGTGGATAGAATATATTTTAAATCAAATAAGTTATGTAAGAATTACTTTCATGTAATTTGAAAAATATATTTTTAAGCATTTTCAAAATTCTACAGTACAGCATTCTATACAGTACGACCTTTAAACAGATGACTTTCTAAATACTATTTCACTACTAAATTGAAGATCTAATGAAAGTGATAATTAATTTCATTTTGAGTAGAGATATTGACTATAACTTTTTCACAGTTAAAATAACAGAAAGAAGTTTATTTATTATTTGGTTTTGCTTTTAATCTGCACACTATAAATAACTTTTCAGATCCAAAAGCGTGCATTTTGTATGAATATAAAATGAAAGATTCAAAGTAAAGCTTATCATTTTATTAGAAAAACACGTTTTAAATCTCTTAAATCCAAGTTTTAGTATTTCGCATTTTAAGAGAATATCAGATTAAAATAATTAATAGAATAACTTGCGACATTGTGTTATATTTTCCAAACTTTTAAAATGAATAAAGAGCTCCACCAAATGTTAATTACTTCAGTAGGTAAAATACAAAATTACATTTTCTTTCAAGGTAGAACAACAAAACATTTATTAATTTAAACAAAAGTTCAAGGTTACTCATTAAAATTCCATGCGACTGTTTCTGTTATTAAGATTTCCAATAGTAACGTCACAGTTCTGTTACTTTCATATCATTTAATTAATAAATATCTGTTTTAAATTTTAAAAAATTGTACTATTATATAATATGGTATATAAAGTATTTATCTTTAATAATAAAGATAATTAATATAATTACTCGTATAAATACTTTTATTATTTACATGTTATAGAATAAGCGTTTTTGAAGAATTTTTCAATTTATTAAAGATTTCAGTATCAAAATTATTAAATTTTTTAAAATTTAAAATTGTTTTTAAACAAAAATGCACACAAAATAACCTCCAAACAACGGCCATTTTTATATTCCCTTCAGTGGCCGTTCTTCAGAGGTTTAACTGTATACAGTAATGTGCAATATATTTAATTATAATATTAAATTTATTCGTATTTTAAAATAGATTTTCATATTGTTCATTGTTATAAAACAGATTAAAAATAGAACTTTATTAAAACCGCAATTCAATTTATATAAAAAGAAAAGGGGGAGAGAAAACTCCACGTGTCAATTTATAGAAAACACCAAAATCAAGATTATTAATTCCAAAGTATTATATTTAAATACAGTTTGGCAATAATGATATCATAAAGTATGGATAGCAGATAAGTTATATCATTATTAGTAATTGTTTTCCAGTTATAAGGCATATCAGAAAATATAAACAATGATTAATCGTGTTAACCGGTTCTTAAATGTATATGAAAATTTTTCGTGGAATACCAAAGGGAAAACGTTTTTAGGAAATGGGCGAAAAATACAGAAGAAAATTTACGTTTTGAGGGTCAAAATACGTATAATGACTTTCCTCGTCTCGAATGAATAAATTAGGTGAAATCGTCATCTTTCTCTCCGTTTTGTTTCAAACTTCACAAGCGTTACAACCATTCAATCGAATTTCTGTATAGGAAATATCATATACTACGGGAACAATATTACTCATCTCAATTTCCTTAGTCAATATAACCAGTTATTCACGTGATCTCGGTTATAAAAGCAAAAAAATTCAAGATATTAATTTAATAGTAAAATGAAGAGTGATCAAAAATGTTGTCTCAAGGTGAGCTTTTTATATAGTTTAATATATTTTATCAATTTTATTATAATTTCACTCCCGATAAGATCTATGTGTTTCTTACTTTATGGATAAAAAATAATAATTAGATTATAAATTTTTGCGCTTTTTTTTTTTTTTANTAATAAATTCAAATAGACTTCTACATTAATAAGATTTGTTCGTCACGAAAGATGAACTACTTTATAACAGATTTATAATTACATTTTCAACAAATTTTTATATAAAAACATAAAACAAAACTAAAAGCTAAAAACTGAAAATAGAGAGCTACCAAAATAAATCTTTTACAGTTTCGGAATCACTAGTCTATAGCGTTATAACGCAAAGAATTTTTATTTTTAAGGTAATATTAACTTTTTACTAAAATAAAATAAATGAAGTAAATATCAAAATTCTTTACAGTAACTATTTTTATTCTTGACATTCATTCATTTATCCATTCATTCAATGCACCTTTTCTTTTTTTTCTTTGAAATTTCCTAGAAAGTGGAATGCTTGAAGCAGAATTGGATATCCGTTTTAATAATTGTAACAACAATTTCCGGATTCGCTCTTGGCCTGGTTTTCCGTCAGTTTAACTTAAACGAGCAAGAAAAGCAATTAATCGGTTTTCCGGGAATGTTAGTGATTAGAGCTTTTCGCATGATCATTTTGCCCATGCTTCCTTGCAGTATTATTTTAGGTAAGTTACTGTATTATTTAGTTTAGAAGTATTAACTACTATCAATCCTAACTATCTATTTACTTACAATTGCCTACCTACCTCACAATAAAGGAGACGTTTCATGCAATCTTGTCGTTATTTCAGGTATCACTTCTTTGGGTAAATCGGAAAATAGAAAATTAATTTCTTACACCGTTTTGTTCATCGTTTTACTCTCGCTCTTTGCTAGTATTTTGGGATTAACTTTAGCTCATCTTCTTAAGCCCGGAGAAAAAGCTCTGGATAAACCAAAAAGTCGAGTGGAAGATGCTGGAAAGAAAAGTCAGATCTTAGATTCCTTCTTGGATATGCTGAGGTTTGTCATATTTCTCTGAATATTTATTGGTTAAATATATACATCATTTCATTATTTATTAATTGGACGAGATCTTGACGAAAAAAACCTTTTAATTATAGCAAAATAGTCATATTATTAGTATTTTGAAAAAAATCGCCATTTTATACAGATAGTTACATACTTCGAATGTGTGAAAATTATACATAAGAGTTCTTGTTTGGATTTTTCTTGCCTTTCATTTAGGAATGGTTATTTCTTAACGATATAATAATGGGAGATGCTTTACTGATAAAATCTACAGAATATATATATATAGGCCTATATAAATGTTAATTAATTAATTAAAATATGTATGTTCGTTAGGTAAAGGTGCGGATATATACTGTTCGATATATCCGCACCAAATTAGGTTCCTAGAAAAAGTACTGTGGAGTTTCCACTTCCAATCACTTCAAAATACCACTCCTCTTAACTTAAGCCCGAGCAATTTTTTGTGTTTTTCAGTTTCATTATCGTAGATAATAAATCAATAAATGTACAGTACATTTTAGTTACTAAACCATTGTTTTTATCATCCTAAACCAACTCAATCTCACTAATCCTCTACCCCTTAAAACCTCGAGCACCGCTAGGTAGTGTACACGCAGCTAGTATTTTTATAAAACAACAAAACATTTCTTAAAATTCTAATTTTTTTTTAATTTTAATAATTATATAATATTCATTCTCATTTTCTCATTAAGTTTTTATATGCTTAAGTGATATATGCAATAAATATATTTTTTAATATTAATTGAAAATGCATTATGTCAAATAAACATTTCTGATGAATTAAATCAGGAGACTATTTTTGCCCAATTACAAAACTCTTACTGTTGATTTGTATGGGGATATTACTGAAAAATATTTTCTGCTCATATTAACCGAAAATCCTTATTTTTCCTCAAAAAAACAAGGGGTTGAAGTATAAAGGAGTCAAAACTTGGCTAAATAAAAGATGTTAAATGTCCTCCTTAATCGTCAGTTCTAAATTCCACCGAATACATTTAATTTCAATTAAAAAAGAATTCAAAAGTTATATAATAGCCCAGGAAAGTATTAACATTTGGGTATATCCAATTAATGTCCATCAATGGATAAAACCTTTGCGGGGGTTTCGGATTCGTCCGTGAGCAATGGACTAGCTACGCGGAGTTTTCTGAGTTTTCTTCACGTATCTAACACCTAAATAGGACCTCGCAGAAAGTCCTCCCGGAAAGCATCCCTTTGGCAAATATTGCAGATAACTCATGTGTTGCGTTGCTTTATTCTATCAATCTATATGTAGAACAGAATATTAGTAATGTGCAGTAATATTAAGTCCTTAAGACGGTGAGCCTCCTTAATCTTACTGC